CATCAAGGAAATAATAGAGAATTTTCTAAAGTTGTGAAAGGGCATAACTGTGCTCTACAAAATGGTTGAACAAATACATAAACATATTCTGCTAAAAAATTAAATAGCAAATACTGAAAATGTCCTAGGAGAAACAGAGCTTCACCAAAATGGAAACAAATGGAAGACAGCCTCAGACCACTCCCTACTGCAAAATACCAGAGGCCCTGGGAACAATATCTACAGTCGTAAGTGAGAGCGTTGTGCCCAGCTATCCTAGAACCACTCAAGGACACATGAACATAGAAAGTATAGGAAGTCGCTCTCAGTGCAGGGAGTCAAGAGAACATGCCAACACCATTCCCTGCTCCATTAGGCTTCATGAAACTTGTTAGAAACAATCTTGAGCTGACCATAAGAGCAATCAAAATAAGTAAAATCACAGTATAAAAAGGGCAGCAGGAAGCAAAAAAGAACTTAAACTATTTCAAATATTCTTCACCATTAAACCATTTTAAATCAAATGGTTACTTAATTTAACACAAGTTTTTAAAACAATACTTAAATATAAAAGAGAGCCACCTAAAATATATATTAAAAATCTAAGTAAGAAATTCAGAATAGTGTATGGAAAAATACCTGGAAAGTAGGCAGAAGGGTGGGATAAAGTACATGTTAAGAAAAATAAAATGGAAAACAGAAAAATGGCTACAGATGATCAATGAATAATAGAAAGAACACAAGTGATCTACAAAAATGAAAAGGGTTCAATCCCATGACTACATGAATAAATAAAATTTAAAACAGCAGTATGTTAGTTTTACTCGTCAAGTTAGCAAAATATTTTTAAATTGCAATGCCCTGCATTGTCTAGAACATAGTAAAATAAGCTGGTAGAGGAACTGCTGATCACATTTCATCTACTACAGGTGAATAGAAACTGAAAACAATTTTTCTGAGTAACAGTCTGACAATAGAAGACGTGGAGTTTTTAAAAGACCACACTCCCCTTCCTCACCGCAGTATTCCACTTCTAATTTTTCCTATAGAAATAATACATACAGACAAGGTTGTCCACTGTAGCCGTTTATATGATGATATTCAAACAACTGGCAATGAATTGAATAACAAAATGGAGAGGATCAATTTTTTTTTAATTTAAGGAACTCTTTGAGATTTATAATGTACAAATGATAAATAAAATTTTGTATATTTGTGACTTACAATGGGATGTTGTAATATATGTATACATTGTGAGGATTCCTACAATCAAGCTAATTAACATATCCATCATCTCAGAGTCACCTTTTCTTTGTGTCTGGTGTGAATATTTAAGAACCACAATTTTGTTGGGCATGGAGGCACATGTCCATAATTCCAGCATTTCAGAAGGCTGAGGCAGAAGGATCATAAGTTCAAGGCCAGTCTCAGCAATTTGGCAAAAACCTCAGCAATGTGGGGAGACACTATCTCAAGATAAAAAATCGGGGACTGGGGATGTACCTTAGTGGTAAAATATCCCTGAGTTCAATCCCCAGTACCAAAAAGAGAGGGAAAAAAAACCAACCATCTTAACAAATTTCATGTATGCAATGTAGTATTATTAACAATAAACAACCACCACCATGCTATTAGATCTCCAGAATTTATTCATTCTGTAAAACTGAACTTTCTACATTTTGACCAATATTTCCTTATTTCTCCCAACCCAACCCCTCATAGCTACATTATTCTGTCCTGTGCTTCCTTACATAATTTTTAAGATTCTACATATAAGTGAGATAATATAGTATCTATCTTTCTGTGCCTGGTTTGTTTCACTTAGTCTGTTTCCAGATTTCTCTAAGTTGTTACGAATGATGATTTCCTTCCTTTTTAAGGTTAATACTTCATTTATACACACACACATACACACACACACACACCACATTTTGTCCATGCACCTGTTGACATTTAGGCTCTCTATCTTGACTGTGTAGAAAATGCTGCCATAAACATAAAAATAAAGATATCTCTTCAAGATACTGATTTCATTTTCTCTGGATACATACCCACAAGTGAAAGTGCTGGATCATATAGAAGTTTTTATCTTTCTGTGGAACCTCCATATCATTTTCCATATTGGCTATCCCAGTTTACATCTCTGCTAAGTGAGAACAAGAGTTCCCTTTTCTCCATATTCTCATCAATACTTGCTATCTATTGTCTTTTTGACAATAGTGATTCTAACTGTATTTCTTCTTTTGAGAAATGTCTGTTTAGGCCCTTGGACTATTTTTTAAATTTTTTTATTTTGTCATTGAGTTGTTCATATAGTTTGGATATGAACACCTCATCAGGAGTACAGTTTGCAAATGTGCTCCCCCATTCCACAGATTGTCTCTTCAGTTTATGGATATCTTCTCTGTTGTGCATAAACTTTTAGGTCAACGCAATCCCAGTTGCCTAATTTTGCCTGTACCATTTCGAAAAAAATTCATTGACCAAATCAATAGCAAGATTTTTCCTTTTGTTGTCTTCTATTAGTTTCACATTGTCAGGTTTTATATATAAGTCTTTAATCAATTTGGAGTTGATTTTTATATATAGCATGAGGTAAGGGTTCAATTTCACTCTTCTGCATAGAAGTATCTAGTTTTCTCAACACCATTTATTATAAAAGAAACTGTCCTTTCCCTATTGTGTATTCTGGGAACCTCTGTCACTCTGTCAAAAATCATTAGGCACATAGGGTGTGTATTTACTTGGGGGTTCTCTATTCTGTTCCCTTGGCCAATACACCTGTTGCTAGGTAATAACCAGCTGATTTGATTATGATAGTTTTGCAGTATGTTTTGAGGTCTTTAGCTTTATTGTGCCTAAGATTTCTTTGGCTACTTGGGGTCTTTTGTGGTTCCACATGAATTTCAGTACCACTTTTTCTATTTCTGTGAAAAATATCATTGCAACCGTGGTAAGAATTTCACTGAATCATAGATCACTTGTGGTAGGACGGGCATTCTGACAATATCGATTCCCATGAATATGGGCTGTTTTCCCGTTTATTTCAGTCTTTCTTCAATTTTGTTCATCAATCTTTTCATTTTCAGCGTAAAGATTGTTCACCTCCTTGGTTAAATTTATCCCTAAGTAGTTCCTTTTTGATACTATTGTAAATGGGATTATTTCCTTAGTATCTTTTTTGAAGTTTATTGTTAGTGTGTAAACTGCAAGTGTTTTTTTTTTTTTATGTTGACCTTCTATCCTGCAACATCATTAACTTTATTAGTTCTGACAAGTTCTTGATGGAATATTTTTAGAATTGTCTGTATCTAATATAATCTGCAAACAGAGACCATTTTAGTATTACCTTTCTAATTTTAGTGCCTTTTATTTCTTTATCTTGCTTAACTGCTCTTTCTAGGACTTCTGTACTGTCAAATAAAAGTGGTAGAAGTGGGTATCTTTGTCTTTTTTGATACTGAGTTTGGAAATTGTGTAGGTTTCTCAGAAATGACCTCTATTACATTGACATATATTCCATCTAAACATAACTTGCTGAATTTTTATCAAAGGATGCTGAACTTTGTCACCTGCTTTTTCTGCATCTCTTGCAATCATATGATTTTTGTCTTTTATTCTGTTAATGCGGTGTATAACAATTATGGATGTGCATATGTTGAACCATCTTGCACCCAAAGAGTAAGTCCCAATAAATTATAGTATATAATCCTTTTTTGGTGCTACCATATATAGATGGCTAAAACTTTGTTAAGGATTTTTACATCTATGTTCATCATATTTACTAGGTCTAATAATTATCTTACAGTGCCCTTCTTTGGTAAGGTATGAGAGTAAAAATGACCTCGTAACGTGAATTTGAAAGTGTTCTTTTTTTCTTCAATGTTTTAGAAGAGTTTGAGAAGAAGTGACAATAATTTTTCTTTAAATGTTTGATGGCAAAGCTAGTGAAGCAATAAGTACATAGGCTTTTCTTTGGGAGGTTTTTGATTCAATATTGTTACTCATGATTTGCCTATTTAAATTTTTATTTCATCATTTTTCAGTTTTGATAGATTGTATATGTCTTGGAATGTATCCACTTGCTCTAGATCATCAAATTTATTGGCATAAAATTGTTCATTTTTAATCTCATAAGATCCTTTATACCCCCATGGTATAAATGGTGACATTCTGCTTTCATTTATAATTTTTCTTCTCCTTTTTCTTAGTCTAACTAAAGTTTTGCTAGATTTATCTTTCAAACAAATCATAATTTTACTCATATTTCCAATTGTTTTTCTCATTTCAACTATTTTTTCTTCCTTCTCTGTATCTTAGCTTCCTTCTGCTAACTCTGCAATTAGCTTGTTCTACTTTTCTAGTTCCTTCGGGTATTAAGTTACATTGTTTATGTGAAGGATCTTTCTTTCTCCTTTAATATAGGTATTTATTGTGAAAAACTTTTGAGAAATTCTTTTGCTGCATCCCAAAAGTTGTGGTATGTTGTGTTTCCATTTTCATTTCTCTCAAAAATATCCATTTCCCTTTTCTTTTTTAACAAACTGATTGTTCAGGAGTGAGTTTTAAATTCACATATAATTGTAAATTTTACAATTTTCCTCTTGTTATTGATTCGTAGATTTATAACAATGTGGGGGGGGAATTAAAAAGATGCTAATTGTTTTCAACCTTCTTAAAATTATTAATACTTGTTTTGTGGCCCAATTTATTACTTAATCTGGAGAATGTTCTGTGTGCACTTGAAAAGAATACATACTCTTCTGCTGTTGGGTGGAATGCTCTATATATATACATATATGTTAGGTCCAGTTGTTCTATTGTGTCCAAGTCTGCTATTGCTTTATTGACTTCCTGTCTGGGTGACCTATCTATTGTTATAAGTTGGGTACTGAACTCACCCACTCTTTATTATATTGCCATCTATTTCTCCCTTCAGTTCCATTAATATTGGCTTTATGCATTTAGGTGTTCAAGTGTTGGGTGAACATACATGTACAATTGTCATATGCTCTTTTATTTTCAATATGGAATGCTTCACAAATTTGCATGTCATTGTTGCACAGGGGCCATGCTAATCTTCTCTGAATCATTCCAGTTTTAGTAAATGTGCTGCCAAAGTGAGCAATGTCATATGCTCTTGATGAACTGACCTCCTTATCACTATATGATGACATTTTTTAATACACTGTGACAGTGTCTAACTTAAAGTCTATCTTGTCCAATGTAAGTAGAGCCACCTCTGCTCTTCTGGTTACCATTCACAGGGGGCATCTTTTCCTATGCATTCATTTTCAGTACATGTGTGTTCTTACCTAAGGTGAGTCTCTTTCAGGTAGCATATATAGTAGTCCACTCTTATTTGAAGTTTTGCTTTCCATAGTTTCATTTACCTGCTGTCAACCACAGTTCTACAACCACCCAACTATATCATCAAGGCTTGTTGATCCAGGATCATCTGAAGCCTATGATCTTCTTTCTAACATATCATCAGAGGGTCATTAGTAAGCCAAAGCCATGACACAATGCCTACATCCTTCACCTCGCCCTTCAGGTAGGCATTGCATCAGCTCACAAAAATCACAAGGGCAAGCACAGTGTATTTTGAAATAAGAAACAACGTTCACAAAACTTTTACTAAAGTGTAATTATAATTATTCTATTTTACTAGTTAATGCTGTTAATATCTTACTAAGCCCGATTTATGAATTAAACTCTATCAGAAACATGTGTATATAGGGAAAAAACATTATATATTCAGGGTGGTTTCAGGCACTCACTAGGGATCTTGAAACATATTCCCGGAGGATAAAAAGAAACTGATGTAGTTGGATTGTTTTTTTAAAATCCTTTCAGCCACTCTATGATGTTGGGTTGTAGAATATGATCCATTTACGTTTAACTCTTAATAAGGATCTACTATAGATCTAATATAGACATTTTGTTCATTGTTTTCTGACAGTTTTATACTTCATTTATTCCTTTCTTCCTTTCCTGTTCTCTTCCTTTGTGATGTGATGATGTTCTGTAGTGGTATGCTTTGTTTCCTTGGCCTTTACCCTTGGTATATCCTCTTTGCTTTCTTTGTGATCACTATGAAGCCTACACAAAATATTGTATATCTGCTTAAAGCTCATAATGACTTAACTTTGCAAATAAAAACTGCACTTAAAACATTTCTCTTCCCATTTTAATGCTATTGCTGTTTCAATTTACATTTTTATATGTTTTATATCCACTAACAAATTATTGTAACAACTATTCTATGAGAGTTTAAAGTATTTTATGTACAACTAGAGTACTTTGAGCATACTCTTACATTTGCCATGAGTTTTCTACTTTAGTTTTCATGTTATTAGTCCTTATTCCAATGGGAAGAGTTCCTTTAGCAATTCTTCTGGAAAGGTCAAATGCTGATGAACTTCTATAGCTTGTGTTTGTCTAGGAAAGTCTCCTTTATTTTTGAAGGAGAGCCTTGTCAGGTACAGTATTCTTAGTCAGTAGATTTTTTTTTTCCTTTCCTCACTTGGAACATATCATCTCACTACCTCCTGGTCTATAAATTTTCTGCTGAAAAAATCTACTGACAGTCTGATAGAAGTTCCCCTATATATGACAATGTGCTTCTGTCTTCCTGCTTTCAATTTTTTCTCCTTATCCCTGACTTAAAAACCTAGATTACAATATCTTGATGTTATACTTTAGATTTGAAAAGCTTCCCGAAAGTTTCTGTGTCAAATGCAATGCAATAATGTCCAGAAATAAGGCTTTTAGAGAATGACTGGACAGTGAGTGCTCTAACCTCATCGATGGATTAATCAATCTGATGGATTAATGACTTTAATGAATTATGGGTGGTAGCTTCAGGTAGGTGGGGTATGGTTGGACAAAGTGGATCCCTGGAGATAAGCCCTTGGGAACTATTTCTTGCCCCTGGCCCCTTCCCACCACTACTTCCTAGCTGTTATGAGGTAAGAAGCTTCCCTGCCACACATTCCCTTCTACCATGACGTTCTGCCTCACCTTGCACCCCCAGCAAAGCAGTCAGCTGACCATGGACTGAAACCTCTGAGAGAGTAAACCAAAAATGCATCTTTCCTCTTTTAAATTGTTTGTCAGACATTTTCATCAGCAATGAAACCTAACCAATACACTTGGTAAGTACATCTTTTATCATTGTCTGAGATTGTTTGGCTTCCTGGACGTGAATATTCATTCCTCTCTTCAAATTTGAGAAGTGTCCTAATTCTTAAAAATCAAGGTTTCTGCTCTTTTTGTCTCTCTACTCCTTCTGGAACTCCCATAATGTATATATTAGTTCACTTGATGATCTCTCATAAGTCTCCTGGGTTTCTTTCACTTGTTTTCTTTGTTCCTTTGACTAATTTCACATGACTTATCTTGAAGCTCACTGATTCTTCTGCTTGGTCAAGTTGGCTGTGAAAGCTCTCTATGGAATTTTTAAGTTTATTTTGTTCTTCAGTGCCAGATTTTCTATTTGTTTATTTATTTTTTAATGGTGTATGTCTCTTTCTTGAAATTTTCAATTTGTTCCTATCATGTTTTCCTATTTTAGTTTAGCTGTCTATCAGTGATTTCTTGAAGCTCACAGTTATGTTTGAATATGAGGGGTTCCCAAAAAATTTCCAGTGAATGCAGGAAATCCAGAGGTAATATGATTAGATCATGAGAGGTGTGACCTAATCAGTCCATCCTAGTTTGAATGAACTGACTGGGTGGTAACTGTAAGTAGGTGGGGCATAGTTGGAGGACATAGGTGGGGCATAGTTGGAGGACGTAGGTGGGTCACTGGAGGCGTGCCTTAGGTGCAAATTCCCTGTGCCTCTCTCCTCTCTTTCTCTGTGTCCACCCTTGCCATAAGCTGAGACAACTTCCTCTGCTGGGCCCTTCCCCCACAATGTGCAGCCTCACCTTGGGCCCAGAGCAATGGAGTCAGCCATGTATGGACTGAGATCTCCAAAACCATAACCCCCAAATAAACTTTTCCTTCTCTTGTTGTTCTAGTCAGGCATTTTGGTGACAGCAATGCAAAATCTAATAAAAATACTCACTGAATTTCAAGATAATAATTATAAATTCTTTGTTAAAGAGTTCATAGATTTGCATTTCTTTAGGGTCAATTACTGACATTTTACTTTGTCATATTGGTAAAATCATATTTTCTTGATTATTTGAGATACTTGTAGCATTGTGTTGATATCTAATAATCTGATAAAGCAGAAATTTCTTCTATTTTTCACCAGTCAGCCTATTTGGAGATTTTGTGTGGGACATCTGACAGGCTCCACATGTGTACTTGTTGTTAGGAGTCCTTGGGTGGGCTGGCCTAGTGCTTCCGTCAGTGGATACACTGGCCTAGCTGGGGCCTCAGAGACAAGCCTGGAACCTGGGTCTACTAGGCCTATGTCCTTAGTTTGTGAAATTTGCCTAAAGCTGGGGACTATAGGAGTGGGCTTGAAGCCTGGTATATGCCACTCTGAGACTAGAGGCAGTCCTAGGCCACAGGTCCATTGATCCAGGCTTCTTGTGTCCACAAGAGACTATGGCTGAAAGGGTCGGCCTGGAACTAGGGTTGATCTAGTGCCTGGGTCCTAGATTCTAGGCTTTGAGGGCTACTTGGTATATGGACCCCCCTGAGGCCGACCTGGACCCTGGGTCAGTAGAAGTGGGCCTAGTTTTGGGGTGAGCTTGGAGCCTAGGTCTGTGGACACCTACCAAGAGACTAGTAGAGGCCAGTCTGGCATCATAGTTCATTGGGACAGACCTACTGTCAGGTCAACAACAAAGTCAAGTATTCCTTTCATTTTCCTTTCCCCCTGAGGAGGCTATCCCTCTCATACCTAAGCTATCTGGGAGAAGAAGGGGTAACAGAGCAATTTAGACTGTCTTTACTGCCCTCTCTAATGCATCTGTTACTTCTGTGCTCCACCCAGTGTTGTAATATCATCCTTTTAGTTCCTATGAATGTATTCTCATGTATAAACAATTGTTCAAATTGATTTTCTTTGAAAGGATAGGCACAAGAAAGCCTTACCCTGCCATCTTGCTTGAAGGTAAGGGATAATTTTTAAACTACTCTTCTAAATTGATATTTTCAAGGAATATTAAATGATAAGGAAAATGCTATAATATATAAAATCATTGGGAGGTAAACAGATACAAAACATTATGTATATTAATTTTCTAAAAAGAAACATACATAGTTAGCATGGTGGATCGCAAGCTCACAGTCAGCCTCCACAACTTAGCAAACCTGTGTCAAAATTATAAAAAAGAAGGGGCTGGGGATGTAGCTTGATAGGAGAACATCCCAGGTCAATTTCCAGTACAAAAGAAAAAAAAAGTAAAGAAAAGAAAAAGGAATATATGTTACCAAGTATAAAAAGAAATGCTAAAAAAAATTAGACTAATTAGGTTTAAATAGTATTATCTGTTCTTTACATTATCCTATAGTGTGAAAATTCTCTACAATGAACATGAACCATATTTAATTAATTCCATGGTACACATTTTCTTCATTTTTAAAATCTCTGAAATTCACATACATCTTAAGACTGATGGCAAATTTAGCTAAATAGTATTGCACATATAGTAGTGAAAAAATAAAACAATAAATATTATTATGTTTTAAAGACACACATGGGGCTGAGGTTGTAGCTCAGTGCCTGCCATATGTGAGGAACTGGGTTAGATTCTCAGCACCACATATAAATAAATAAAAGTTTCATTGACAACTAAATAATTTTTTTAAGAAGATACAAATGGAAACGTACAGTGAAGGTATTCTTAGAAAAGAGGTATTCACTAATGGCTATGTACTGCCATTAGTGAAGGCAGTGAAAGTTTTGTTAATCTTGTAAAGGATAGGTACTATCTTTGTAAGATCTTGTAAATCTTCCCCCAAATGTAATTTTCCCTGACAGTAAAACCTTCTTCATAAAAATAAGTATGAGGCTGGAGGTGCAGAGCACTTGCCAAGCATGCATGAGGCCCTGGGTTCGATCCCTAGCACCACACACACACACATGCACACCAAAAAAAAGTATGGGGGAGAATATGAACTCAAGATACCCAGTTTTTTTTTTCTCTCTCTCCCCCTTTCTTTGA